TTTGAATATTTTTCTCTGAGTTCTTAGTAAACTTTCAATTACTACTTATTAGTAATTATACTGAAATTGCAAATCTTACCTTAACTAATTAGGTATCACCTCCGATTAACCTTTGTTTTAATGGAGGGTTGCCATGGGGTAATGTATGGCAAAGGGGCATAATTATGGCATAATAGAATAAGTTAATAACTTTTGGCTTTTTTCAAACCAAGCTGTAAAGGTAAAGACAGAAATAAGATTAACATTAATAAATCGGCTACTTACCGCTAGATGGGACACCGACTCAATTTTCCACAGACATTATACGAAGTATACTCTAAAAGTTTCTTACATGCATACGAGAGTTGTACTGAAAGTAATACGACAGTTCATTGCTTGTCTGTTAATTGACGGAAATCTTTCATACAATTTGTGCGATTGTGGTCTTTTTAAAATGAACGTATGTTTTAAGAAAGTTCATATAAACGGATTGACTAACAAAAGTATTTTAAAGAGATGAATGAAGAAGTTTTAGGAGGAAGAAATCAAAATTAACTACAACCACGTCTTTTCATTGGATCCAAAACAGTTTTCGTTTCAAACTTCTTTATTCTTCTTTATACGATACTTTGGTCTATTGCCTTCATAAACATCCTTCAATTTTCAGTGAATGTCTAAACGTAAGACTATTTAATCCACGATTTTGAATATTTTAATTGCAGTTCATTTCTTATAGCTTCAATTCCATAATTTACCTGCAATAAAAGAAATACTGTAACAACTTTTGCATAGAAGAATTATTCTAACAAAATGTAGTGTCGGTATTTGAATGATAAAAACCGTTGTATTCAAAACAAAAGAAAACTTTAATTAGTAAAGTTGGTAGCCAGGCAGTCGCTGGAATGCGGAGCCGGATGGTAGGGTGGAAGACTTTATTTAGCCATGAGAATAATTTGAGAAAGATAGACGAAACGTGCGAAAAGTAGAGGTTTTCTGTGAAGTATTACTGTCCTAACATTTACCTAAATAATCCAAGGAAGCAGAAAAACTTGGAGTAAAGCAGGCGGACCCGGAATAGATCCAGTGACGTGCTAATGGATCACACCGCTCCATGTATTCAAAAGAAACAAACATTGAAATACAACTTTATTTGTCAAAATTTACAAGTTAAATACACTACGTACAAATAGTACGTAATATTGTTAAAGGTTTGAACTCCAACGAACTGTAAAGGCTATCGTTTTAAATAGAAAAACTAAAAAATANATGACTGAAAGAAAAGGCATCGATCAATAAAACTCGAATTAAGACAAAAACAGTTAGTGACAATGTTAAAAAAAAACACAGCAAGAACCAAGTTATCACAATGTTCAATGATCAAACATTCGATTAGACATAAATACAAACATTTACTTTTATAAATGATCAAGCGTTGTCATATCTATCACAATCCAAAAATCTAACAATAAGCGAAACATATTGATAGAAGGCATTTAAAGCACCTTATTACTTCTTCTAAACTTATTTCATCAATATATGTATGCGCGACATACTTACATATTTTAATTTATTTTACATATCTTCAAACTAACATGCTAATTGGTTATTTTTATTCATGGAAGACCACTAATAATTAATTTCATTATAAATTAGACATTCGTTCGTTCTTCTAGAAATACAAAAAACTTAGATGGATTCACCAAAATTAATTATTGCAGAAGTCTTTTAGTAAGTACCATATCAATACCATTTACAATCACGAAACTCAGAAATCTTCAAAATTATAATTATTGTCACAGATTACTTGAGCACACTACTTAATTTTTATAACTATGCAAGCTATAAAAAAAAGTTGGTTTATCTATTATAATTGCCTGTTATATGACAGGTTGTTATTTCACAACCAGAAAAAATGTGCATACTAAATATATTTCTTCAAAATAATAAAAACAGTAAAGCAAAATTGGTGTTTATCATAAATGCTAGTCTTTGGCTTTAAAGTCTACAAATACAGATCATTTATTTTTCAGTTAAAACAAACTTTTCTAAAATTCAAAAGTTAGTGTTTCATTCGTTTTGGTTCTCTGTTAAATTAGCATATATACACCGCTTACTTCATTTGCCTAAATGCAAAAGTACTGTTTCAACTTCTTAAATGGTAAATTCCTTAAAATAAAATTTAGTATGCAAGACATTTTTTCAATCAGTCAACAAAACAGTATAACTAAACAAAAAGAAAAATGAAAAGATATCAAATTTGGTGTAACCATTTTTAAGAGTTTAATCCCTCTAAATTCCATTTCCCAAAACAGGTCTCCACCATTTTGGTTTGGACTAAGCAATGGAACAAATATAAAAAATAATAATTTCGTGAGTCGACATTTCAGTCTATTACTTTCTAATAACTATTAATTATTAATGAATCTACATACCTTGTTGGAGTTTCCTCGCCAGGTCTTCTTATTTTCTCATCCTTTTCATAAGCGTGTCTAAAAAAGGATTTTAGTAAAATGAATTTCAACACCCATGTAAATATAAAGCACGCATGCAAAATATAAATAATTTAAATTGTTTGCTTAATANCAACACGCTGCCTGAGGTGCTCCTAAAAAAACGTCCGCAGCAAAATAGAAAATACGTCAGTGTACACAGTTAAATATATATCAACCCTTAAAAATTATCTATAAAAAGGAAGTAAGAATACATATGCGTAATACATACAAAAGAACATAAAGTGTTAAAGAAAAACACTACAGTGATACACCATATATTATAAAACTAATAATAATTGTAATAAGGGTAGCACACGTCAACAGAAAAAGCAAAAGCCACATGCAATTAATTAAAGTAACCTTTTGGGATGTTGGAGCCAAAAAACAACATCTCTCTTGAAATATTTATTATCTATGCATACTTATGTATATTCTGAAAAATGCAAAAGCTAGAAACAATTCCATAAGCCATGATAATAATTGTGACAAGACAAAATGAATTGCTGTAGATTTGGATGACGTTATATCCATTTTCCAACAGGGCCCTTACATGGCTGATATGATTGATAAATACAAAGGATATTTCCTAGATTGATATCGAATATAATTATATGTATATTTGTAATATAAGTACATTATATTCAATACAGTTGAGAATACTTTTTATAATAATTTTAAAAATAGCTTTAGTATTTATACATTTACATTTTGTTAGTAACATACTACTCATTGTATAAAAACTGAAAAATAAAATAAAAAAGTAACAAAACTACATTGTGAACTAAAGAAATATTGTAAATAATCTAGTCAACTAGAAAATTAATGTCTTTAATATAAGTTGATGTTTAATGAACAGTAAATGGTCTAGTATTAAAAAGGCAAAATCTGTTTTGAAATTTTTATAAAGTTATTTGATTGCAACTTATGCGTCCAATGTGTTGATAACTTCAATTAAAAATAAAATTTACCATTACTTATTAATTATCATGACTGGCAAAGAAAATCAGCGAGTCTTAGTAAGTCCATGTACTTCAAATTTCCAAAATATCTTTTTAATATCAAAAACCGGATATTATTAAGTCAAAATTACTTGAAAAAAAAATCAAAATAATTAACATATTTTGCAAAATTAATTTTATGTTATTTACGTTATGGAGGTTATAAATAAAAATAAAAGAGTTTAATATTATGGTTCACATTAAATATAAACAGCACTTAAAATTCTCGCTTTACCCCAAGCCAATCAATTTGATCATAAAATGTAATCAGTCATTAATTTTCCATATATTTTTTGTTACAATAATTAACAATATTTACAAAAACAATATGACCACTTATTCGTCTGAAAATCTATTGAACTTTGTACAAAATTTATCACCAATAATTCATTTACAACTAACAACTAATACAGCTGATGTACAAAAATGACCCCCATTAAAAAGAAAAAAAATGATTCTGACTCCAATATTCTACTACAAAAAAAAAAAGAAAAATACCCCACCAGCATCTACCGTTGCGCTACTTAAAAATATTTACATCATCTTTGAGTGTTAATGTTTAGGACGATCACACAGCGGAATGTATTTTTTAAATGGGCATATTAATATTACTTCAATTTAATTATTTAAAAAACGTATGCTTATCAAAAACATTGTGAGTAACTTGGCGCAAAATTTAATGTCTTACCAACACGTTTTTCTTTCAACGAGTATCCTTGTCAATGACTGAAAGAAAAGGCATCGATCAATAAAACTCGAATTAAGACAAAAACAGTTAGTGACAATGTTAAAAAAAAACACAGCAAGAACCAAGTTATCACAATGTTCAATGATCAAACATTCGATTAGACATAAATACAAACATTTACTTTTATAAATGATCAAGCGTTGTCATATCTATCACAATCCAAAAATCTAACAATAAGCGAAACATATTGATAGAAGGCATTTAAAGCACCTTATTACTTCTTCTAAACTTATTTCATCAATATATGTATGCGCGACATACTTACATATTTTAATTTATTTTACATATCTTCAAACTAACATGCTAATTGGTTATTTTTATTCATGGAAGACCACTAATAATTAATTTCATTATAAATTAGACATTCGTTCGTTCTTCTAGAAATACAAAAAACTTAGATGGATTCACCAAAATTAATTATTGCAGAAGTCTTTTAGTAAGTACCATATCAATACCATTTACAATCACGAAACTCAGAAATCTTCAAAATTATAATTATTGTCACAGATTACTTGAGCATCATAAATTTGTGATGTTTTCTATTTAAAGGATAAAAAAATACTTTTTACTTTTCTAAGAATATTAAAAATTTATCAAAACAAGCGAAACGATATTTTTTTTTTTGCCTACATACATATACTGATGCAATAAAACTTTCTATCATATTACTATTGTTATTATTAATAAATCCACACATTAATCACAAGACGACGTTGTCATTATTGTAATATTAACACGCGATTAATAATTTATTATGTATATTATAATGATGAGTAATTATTGCTTAAATATATCATTTCTAAAAAGCATTTTTTTTATTTGCAACAACAACGTATGTATTAGTAGGTAGGTTGTAAGTACGTAAAACTGTGCATGTGTATGTGTAAATGTGTGCTATTACACTGTCAAATATTCGATATTATTCAACTTGTCTCACACGTAATCAGTTTCAACACGCTGCCTGAGGTGCTCCTAAAAAAACGTCCGCAGCAAAATAGAAAATACGTCAGTGTACACAGTTAAATATATATCAACCCTTAAAAATTATCTATAAAAAGGAAGTAAGAATACATATGCGTAATACATACAAAAGAACATAAAGTGTTAAAGAAAAACACTACAGTGATACACCATAAAATCTGAAAAACACACTTAAAGCATAGGTCTCTAAAAAAACTAATGATTTTCATCAAACTATAATTTTATGTGTGCAATTAGAAAATAAAACATTCAATTAAATATACATAGCATGCATTTTACTTTTTGGAAATAAAAACTAAACAAAAAGAACGCATTGTTTTTTGGTCTTTTCAATATACATACACCTACGATGAGGAGAGAAATAATTCATTATAAAAATAAAATAATTAAAAAGGTTTATGAGAAAAAAAACGAATATATACATAACGGAAGGTTACTTTGAATAAAAGCGAGGCTTTTGCAATTACTTTTTATTTTCGGTTGGGGGAAAAAAGCGAAATTGTGTTAAGTGGAGGGGCAAAATTCGAAGTAAACTGTGTACACAGACCAACCATAATTTTGGGTGCTATTGGTTTAGAAGTACAGTGAATTAAAAGAAATTGTACAAGCTATTAAGCAGAGTTGTTTCAATTCTAAATTAAATTCATGTGTACTTCTTTCAGTGTAATAACAGGTGATTCACAATCGCAAAGAAAGTGTAACATATGTGCCTCTTTATCAAGCAGTTATTACAAAACTATGTTTTGCTTTTTCTGTCCGGTTATAATGAAGTTCACTTATAAATATCGATAAGCACTTTTAAATAAACATTAGCACATTCATATTATGCAAAATAAATTATTTCAGTCAATTATATTAAGTTAAAATTAAAAATGGAAAATACTTTTTGAATTGGTATAACACAAGGTTTAAAAATGCTTACAATCAATGAAATTCATTAGTTGTAAAGGTATTTCATTCAACAAAATGAATTACCTCTACTGTTTTTGACTTACCACTTCAGTGGTTAGACAATTGATGGCATTTTCCACGGTGTCCTTATGATGAATGACTGTGGTCGAAAGCGAAGATGCGGGGACTTTTCGCAAGGGCGTTGTGGGACAGCCTGCACATCCGTTAACTATTTTTCCTTTGTCTGACGAACCTTACATACACAAGCCCAATTTTTATTAGGACTCGACTTTTCGTTAATTGTGACAGTTAGTCAGTGAACCGCATTTTAAGTTATGTGAAATTCTTTTCAATTCTTATTCGTCGTCCAGAGGGCAATAAAAATTGTGCTTTAAGTAGACTAAAGTTTACAACAGTACAAACAAACGAAATTACTGAACAAAAGTTTACAATTGTTTGTACCATCGAAAACCCCCTATTAAATCGACATTTAGATTAGAAATAAATTAGGCTCATACTTATTATTACTATGTACTATCTAAATGCACAATTTACATCATGTAGGTAAGTATAAATAATATGTCGAAAGACAACGTTTAATTAAAGATTTTAAATCTAATGATTTATGGATATCATTACAGTATGAAAATTTACCGTTTTTTATTTATAGGTACGCATTGGTACACCTATTTTTACACTCTGTACATAAATAAAGTTTTATCAATCAAACAAGGCTTGCAAATAAAAAAAAATGTACTAAAATGTATATATAATAGCAAGATAATATACAGTATGATCGGCCAAAATTCTAATCTAAATGCTCGAGATAGGGGCGTGCAAAATAGATAAGAATTAAAAGAAAAAATAAATAAACTCAGAAAAAAAAAATAAATAAATGTATTTCAATAAAAACAGTAAGATAAAACTTACCCATATCTCCGCTACTTGACGACTCCGTGAAAGAAGGTGTACCCTCGGTCCACGTGGGGGTGGATCCTTCCACCGACGCGGGAGGCGTCCAGGCCAGCATACGTGAATGGCTCGAATGACCAGCACCCGAACTGCCAGACTCTACACTTAAAGTTGACTTATTTTCAGGTCGAGATTCCAACTTAATGTCACTTATGCTGTATATAAAAAGTTATATTTAATCAATGACTCTATTAATTTGCAAAAATCGATTATTATTGCAACGAACACCACCTCGTACACATAAAAAATCTTTACGGCAATGACAACAAATAAAAATGTACCTGATAGCATCATCCCGATATGTTCCTCTTCCGCTGCCTGGGTGTTGAGACGAGTGGTGTGACATGAGCCTTCCCCTCGCGGAGACTGAAGAAGAAAGTACAGATGACGAAACAGCGGTTGCGGTCTGTTCCAGTACTTCGTCGAATGTGGGTGGGGGAGTGCTGCAGCAGCTTGGCACTATACCTGCAGCACAGGAGCGCCTGCTACACGACTAGCCAATAACAAATCTACCTACACATCCTAACAAGCACCCCCAATGACTGCTAATATTTATAAAGAGGGGGGAAGGGTTAGTACACAACATTTCGTACGTTATACTCAGAGAAGAGAGACTAGTATAGAAGGCCAATTCAAATGGAGGACTAAACCGTGAGTAAGAAATTCTAAATAGAACCAGGAGATGGCGTTGCTATGAAAATGAGCGCCTCAACGCTGTATTGAGTCGGAGCAAATTGTGAACGCAGTAATGGCAGGGGTAAATAGTAGAAGTGGTGGGATCACAGAACGCATAAGTCTTTTTCCTTTGCTGTTGTAAGCCAAGTTTGTAAAAAAAAAAAAAAACGGTTGATTTTCCGAAGCGACAACTACCGGTCGGATGACAGAAGCTTCGAGATTTACCGACATGTTATCCGAAACGAAGTCCGGATTATTAACCCAGCATTGGACTTCTATACTAGTCTCTCTTCTCTGGTTATACTACTAGGTGTGTATATGTCAGAAAAAAATGTTGATTATATTGCTAACCAATTAATTAAGAACAAACGAAACAAATAAACCCAAAGCCCAGCAGTACCGATACGAGATACTATCTCACACTGAAACAATATCATAGATGGGATAATAAATTAAAAAATAAGCGGTAGTTAGAGAAAAAAAGCAGAGCAGAAGAAATAAATTATGACACAGAGCAATTACTCCTAATTTTTGATGATTGTTTTCGAAATCCTACAAATAAAAAAAGCAAAGATAAATATGTAATAAGCCTACTAAATAGAAAGCATTAAAATAGATAATAACTACACCAGGCAAAATAAAAAAATACCATGCGTTTGTATTCTATAAATATCGTCTAGGAATATTAAAAAAACCAAAGCAATTATGGTTTACTTTATTTTTTAATTTAAATATAAAAGTGTCAATATTTGTACACGTTACAAATTCTTTTAAATAGTCTTTGAATTGGTATACGTACATCTCTATTTAACTTTAATTACGTATATATTAGTTTTTCCTTTTTCACTTTTCAAGAACAATGTAGTAAAAGAAAAACTTTATCCAGTATTATTGTACTATTACATTTAAAATTACTATTTTTAACTGCGATGTATTAATGTAAGTTATGGGTAATTGTTTCTAAAGAGAATCGAAATTAAAAATTTGTTGTTGAACTTACACTAAATCGTCAATATCGAAATCGATAACGATTTCGGGGATGACAAAATCACTACTATAAGTTTGATCTTGTGAAGGAAATCCGTAAACAGGGAATTTATTATTTTCAACGGTCTTAAGTGTATTTTGAAAATCAGTCCCTTTTTTATCCCCTTTCGACGGATAGCCGTTATTGTTTTTATTGTTTAACGTGCTCTCATCATACTTGTCCAATTTTAAAATATTTTTTAACGTGAAGGAATCGTTTTCGCTTCTAGTTTTCCCACCGGAAGATTTACCGGGTGAATTTTTAAATGGCAACTTAAATATTTTCATTTCGTTATACCTTTTCAACCAACCTTTTTTATCAATTGAAAAGTGTCGCGATTGATGATAGACCCAACGTGCGACTCCTCTTTTTTTAACGCTACTCGTGGGTGATACGTGTCTATTTGTAATGTCGTACTGTAAACGATCACAATCATGCTTATCGGACGAGGTTGAAGCAGAACGAACACAAAAATCATCATGCAAAACGTTACTAGTAGAACAATCACTAATATCCACACCTTTACCGCCGTTACTGGTTCCGCCTCGTTTGACTTTTTGGGTGCCGCGGGGTGGTACTGGGGGAGGAACTTTGGGTTTGTGGTCGCTACTCCTCAGAGAGTGGCTTCCCACAAGAATGGCAGGATAAGAGGAATTTGGGGGTGATGTCAAGGCAGGCGGGGATGACGTCACTAACGCGGGAACATTTGAAGGAACGGGGGGCACTTTGGCGGCAGCCGTTTCTGTAGGCGACACTGTCGAAACAACAAAAACGCCACGTAAACATTTAAATTCGTTTGTGTGTCGACAGGTATGAGAAGAGTGTGATTTTTGTCAAGAGTCCAAGCCATGGCAGCATGAAAAATTGAAAATGTTCCATCAGCCCAAAGGTGCAAATTACAGAAATTTCTCAAAAAAGCCCCGACAATGATTAAAACATTAAACCAAAAAATGACGTATGCAAATGAGGAGGTACTGGAGCTAAGCAGAAATAATGACAATAACATCAACTTTAGAAAATCGACAGAAAAAAAAAATTACCCACAATTTGTAATTTATAGTATGTATCACACTACCACCGATATTATTCGAAATTTCATCTTCGCAATTTTAATTAAAAAAGATACATGTTTTCTCAAAAAACATATTAGAAATAAATGGAACAATATAAATACATCATTAGAATAACTTCTTTGAGCAAAACATATTGTAGTCCATCATTCATTTTTAAATATATAACTCTACGGAGTGTTTGTATTCTAATATTACTTGTTACTCTAACTCCGGTTCCTCCTTAATATGTCACTTATAAGACAATATCAATTTGGAACGAAAAGTGTTGACTCTAATGTTATGTATTAAAATTTGTAAAATCGAAATCGAAAAGCCAAACCAAATAAATGTTAAATGTGACCAATGACCCAAAATAGTACAAACTGTAGCAAAATTTTAAACTTAAACCGTTGCACACAAGCGGGTTTTCTTAAATTTTTTGGTCAAAACCTATAGATTGAAACAAAAGTTTGAGAAGCTTAAGGAATCAAAAAAAAAACATAATTAAACTAAACTACAGCTATATTAAACTATAATTCACAAGCTTGTTTGTTTCTTCGAAATATCTGTAATATAAGGATCTGATGATACTAGAAAATTATTAAACACATCTTCAATGTTTTGATTTCTACTAATTTTCTCTGTACATTTTTATGTCTTTATTTCTAGACTTCTGAGCTTCTTCTGAAAGTAGCCCTAAAGGAACTATAGAATTTTCTATTATTTCATGATCAAACGTACTTGTAAGAGCCAAAAGGATTATAAAAAAGCGATAAATTATATTTTTGGATAAACAAATTTTCTTGCTGTATTTCTGTCATTGCTACTTCCAAATCCGGGCTTAGTCTATCATGGGACCCATTTTTTCCTTAAATTCGTCTTGGATATGTTTTTTCTAATGTCTACTTTATTCTTATTCTCCGCACTTCGAATTGGCACTTACATATAGTTAAGTCTATAATAAACGGATCCACACATGTAGTGGAGATATCCTAAACTTTAAAAAATCCTTGCTGACAATATTTTTAGATAAATTAGCAACATATATTATTGAAGTCTTTTGATGTCAAGTGACACAACATCGTTGATTTGATTTAGTGTCGGTTATAGCATCGACGGTTTTCCCATCAATCATACACAGAATTAAATTATGTCTCAAATGTATGTCAGTGCTATTGCATTCTATTTTCGTTGGTATTAATGTTTCTATTTCAGTTTCAATACATTTGACGCAATATTTAATCAAATCTGTCGATTCAAAGGCAAAAAGAAGCATCAATAGTCTGCAACTTCTTGGCGAAGATGCAGTTGGATTTCTCTAAATAATTGTTTTACCACTTCCGCTTATGTTGTCTACTTCTAATTTCATCGGAGCAATGGTAATCAAATAAATGCTTGAATCTGAAACGGTATCATCCCGAAATAGTTGCTTACATTCAGCTTCTCCCGATGTTCTATCACATCACTATTTCGTAATCAAAGAGGTGGTATCAAGTTGGTTTTTAGAAAGTGACGAAATAACTTCATGCAGTGAACGAAAAAATCTCGCCGATGTATGGCCTAATAAATCTTGTAAAGAGATTTTTACAGATCATTCACTGACGGATATATTTTTTGGGTAGCATCTTCATAAAGAGGATAAATTTTGCAATTATGAGTAGTTGCACTTTCCCTTATTAAATTGTACTGGAACTTGGTAAGCTTTGCTCCAACAACTAGTGCTAAAGCTTCATCTGGTGTATAAGGTATGTGCGATTGTTCAGAAGTGGTGTCCTGTTTTCTAATTATAGCACTACATTGTTCAGCAGATTTCAGATGACTATCCCTTTTTAAGTTCATTTTAGCAGCAATCAAAAGTGCAGTACTATATCTTTCCATACGTAAGTGTTCGGTTTTTCTGCGTTTTGATCGATCACTGCTCTCGGAGAAATTTTTAGGTCTTCCATCAACTCGTTTTGAAGCATGTTTTTTAACAGCAAGACAAATACCATTACTAAGCCAATTAGACTCTTTTCTATGAAAATAGACATTGTTACTTCCAGCAGAAGCCCACTTCTGTCTATATTCGAATATAAACTTAGATAACAATTGTTTTGAATCATCTGTCAAATCATCCTCAATACCTAAACAACTTTTTACATTATGTACAAGATTTTTAAATTTTTCATTATTATCTTTTAAATTACAACTGATACAATATTCAACTAATTGTTGACGATATATGACGACATTCTCAAAAGATGAACCTAAAAATAAAGAAAAAAAAATATTTTTCCTGTTTTCTAATTCAAATTATTAATTATCTAATAAAAAGGAGAGTAGCACATATAAGCAACTACAACCAACACATACATTCAGCTGAGATGTATACCTTTACTACAATTATTACAAAGTAGTCTGATTCTAATGAATTTATAACTTTATACCTTAATAAAAGCAATCATCACGTAAACTCTATATTATAAATTAGTTTTACTTTGTTTTTTGTAAACAAACTAAAAATAATAGTTAATTTAATTTAAATACATGTATACATACCCCCGGTTCACAATCCATGATAAAAGTTACACTAAACACTTTTAAAACACGAAAATATGTTTTTTAAATAACCTTAATTTTAGACAACAATTAATTTGAAATAAATATAAAGGAGACTGTGGTGTAATGATAAACAAAAAGGAAAGGTCTTACCCCAACTAACCACAACAGTTAAAAAAAAAGAAAAAACATGGACATGTATAAGTGAGGGAAACACGTGTCCGCGTTTTTTTAAATTGTTGCGGTTAGTTGGGGTAAAACCTTTCCTTTTTGTTTAACAAGTAATTGTTGTTTATAATTCGATACTTTATAATAGCTGGTAATGAAGGGTTTGTTTAAAATATTATGCGGGATATCATTCGTTGCAAAGACATAATCATTATGGCTGACTTCGTACGTTGGAGTTTTGACCACAAATTTTTAAAAATCCGCCTGTGTGCCTTGTGTACGATATAAACTGTTATTATTGACATTAATTCTTAATAAAAATAGTAAACACCCAAATTTTAAATAAACTGTTATAAAAATGCAATGGACTCACCAGTTTTACTTCCATTTTGTTGACTAGAACTGGACTGGACTTGCGCCGTAGCTGTACAACCCAACACCATATCATTAGCACAAATACAAGCGGGATAACGGAAAATAGTAAGGTGATAAGCCAATTAAAAACACAAAAATAAGACAAGAACGTCTGAAAAATGCAACTGCAGTAGATACTAGACAGTGTGAACAATTGTTTGCATTGTCGATTTGTCCACGCTAACCGATATTGTATATAATAAGGAATGAACATTGTTAATTAATTAAATGAACATGCATACAAAAATAAGATTCAAATGCACACTTATTCTTTGTATAATAGATTTTTTTATTACTCCTTTTAAAACTATATAATATCAGGTCAGTAGTGTCGAAGTCACTTTCTTATGTCCACTGGGGTACTAAATTTAAAGCGTTTAGATCAATCTAATGAAATTATACTCGATGGTTCAGAATAAATATTTCGGGGTTTTACAGTAATGGCGAAACTGCAACGGCGAAGTATCGATTTTTAAAGCTAATCGCCATTATATTTTGTTTGTTCATGGTATACGGTGGCCTAATACGATTATGCTGTTCACATTATACGGGGTTTCCGTTATGCTATGTTCACACTATCGAATATCTACCATAAATATAAAATAGTTCTGTTGAAGATGAAAATTTACTCATAAAAACTATCACCTTACTAAAAGTAACAATAAAGCAATTGATGAATGATGTATGTACGTTAATATGAACTATACACAGCAAATTTGGTTAAAGATTAAAAAGATTTTTTTAATATTTTGTCCTCTCTTTTCAATCCTTTAAGATAATAAGCTTTATCTGTTTTATTTTCTCTTAAAAGAACTAATAATGCTTAAAACACACTTAAGATCGCAATCGAAAGTTGAAAAAGAAATATCAAGATAAATAATTGATTGAAAGCGATATTTATGGACCTCTAAAATTAAAAGTGATATAAAAACCCTCACTTACTATTGTTATCAAAATCTTCATGTCCTCTAAATGGTCTTTGAACCAAGGATTTCCTCTTTGATGGCGAGTGTTTTAAAGCTGCAACAAGAAAAAAAAGTATCCAAATGAGTCGCTAATAGACTGCTAAAAAAATTAAAACATTTGTTAAAACAAAATAAAATAAAAACCATTGCAGATGTCCTACCATCTTATACATATTATCTTATCAATCGATCAATTCAAAATGCAGAAAGCAGTGAGTTGTGTCGACATCGACGCTGGATGTGACACAAGACATTTAACGAGTAAGGCAAATAGGAGATGACACAAAAAACATGTTTGAACATTAATATATATCATTCAAAACACAAAAACCATACCTGTTTAACGCTGATTACACTGAACACTATTAAATGCAATAAAAAATATAATAAAGAAACAAAATAATTCTTTCTTATTAGAAGTAATGATGCTTAATCAGTTTTTAATTTAATTCCAATTTAACTTTATAAACAATAATTTTTTTCAATTAAATTAAAATTACGTTACACGCTGACGATGAGTTGTGTAGAAATTACAGATGAAAAAATTTATCCAAATTGCCTTTTTAGTTCTTTGATATTGAATTCATTATTTTTATTCCAATTGTAGATGTATCACAGCATTAATACAAAATGTTAATTAAAACCAGAAAACTCCAATCGAGTAAAATCATTATTTCTCTACGTCAAGTGACAAAAATTCAAACTGATTGCTCGTGTCGTAAATAAGCGAAAGACGAAATTCAAAACGTCATAAACGAAAGCCAAAGAAAAAGAAAAAAAATGGAAAATTAACTAACTGGCACTCTATCTGGCAATATTACCTATGTAGCTGGTAACCAGTGTTCGAAACTTGCGATGGTTGCCCTTAATTTCAGGCAAGTCCACTACACGTAGCATTAAAACACAAAAATATCAGAGCCACAAGTACAATTAACTACCAACTACTATGTTAAAAAAACGAAATAATGGAGAGAAAACAAAAAGTAAATGGTGATGGGAAGTATTAACTAAACGAAATACCCAACGTAATGTGTAAGTAGTTGGGTGTAAACAGCAAAAAAGTTGTTATTAAGAAATAAATAATAACAGGCCACTACAATAATAGTAACATAAAGTGTTGAACCCGATTATGATTTTCGTTTCCAACAATTATATCTAAGGAAAATAGAAAAATGATTTCCGATTCTTAGAAATAAAAAAAAATTAAAGTAAGGGAATTCAATTCGTATTAAAAAAGTTTATATAAGTTTAAAATTATGTAGGTAGTAGTGATGTAGAGGAAGGCAGCCGCGCACAATTTACTATACAATTTTGTCTACGAGGGTGAAGTCATATGTAATAAAATAAGGGCCCATTATTATTTATTGTAATTAATGTTGTTGACTCATTTCCATTAACAAAATAAAGGAAAAAGTATTCAGAAGGAAGCAAATTGAATGAATAGTTTAAACTGATGTATAACAACAATAAATAATTAACAAAAAAGATTATTAGAGTATACATTAATATATACTTTTTCCATTACGGTACTGTATTGATGTTAGCCTAAGATTAAATGTTCCAAGTAGCGTAATTGTCAAATAACAATTTTATACTGCTTAAAGTACTGATATTTGTAAAAACAAAATTGTGTGGACTTATGAAGGAACAAAGTAATACAAAAAAGTTTCACGCAAAAAATGATACAATTTCTTTTATAATAAAAAAATAAACAAATATAGAAAGTACTTGTGGATACATGTTTACAGAGTTTAATAATGTAGCATTTTTACGTGAATGCTTTTTACACTGTATTCAACTACTAAATATGATAAACGGCGACAAGATGATTGACAAACTTGTACATTTTTTAAATAGATAGATAAAAAAAGAAAAACTTACGCGAGGGTATCTTCTTAAAAACTTTGTTTGCCATGAACTGTTGGAATCGGGAAGCGTAAAAACTTGGATTATGAACTGAAACGGTGTCCTAAAATATATAAAAAGTAACACACATATTTTAAGATTGGCATTTCTTATGAAATCTACATCGAAAGAAAATACCAAAAACTTACGCCATCATGAATCATGGACTTAATGGTGTGCTCCAACTTCTTTTTCAGCCTGTAGCTCTGCAAGATGTCTATGATACCGATAAAAAGTAATAACCTTTCGCCTTTTGCATTTCTTGCAGGTATTCCTCCAGGCCTTAAGCGTATGTAAAAGAAACAATATAATTTATTAAGACATTAAAAAAATATTGTTATCTAAAATTTTGGTATAAATCGTATGAAATTAGACTAAAAACAGTAATAGAAGAAAACAGTCGAAATTTCTAAAATGTGTGATGTTTACAGTACAAGAATATTGTATAGTATATGGTGCAACCTAGCTTATAAATCAATTTAAATTATTTTTAAATGTTTCTACTTAGTTTTTCTACTTACGGTACATCTTCCTCTTCGTCGATGGGTTCGGATTCCGCTTGAATGCTTTCCATAGCGGTCGAATGGGCTACAAGCCTTTGACGATTAATCGATCGCGTTCTATTAAGGGAAGACGCCCCTATTCGGTCATCTTTTTCTTTCTCTCTTTCAACGTAAACCATGGCAACACTAGGATCTTCTCCTGCCTCTCTCTGATAAAGTTCGTGATCTAGGGCTTCTTCAACCTTCTTTTCTTGCTAAAATTACAAGTAACTATACCCATTTAAAGAAGAAAATAGAAAATCGCGAATCTATCAAAAATGTGTAGTTAATTAAGGGTTACTTTGCAGCTTTTTGGTAAAGAACTATAACGTCATTATTTTTCTTTATAAATACATACCTGTTTTTCTTTTTGAGCTTGATCCAAATTGTGCACTCCAACCAAAAGACTGTAGTCCATTATTTTGAAGCTTTCCAGTACACGACAGTCCCTCTGTATAGTTTTGACAAGTGCACTGTAAGTGTCTGCTTCCATAAGAATCCCTTCTGGATGATGCTCCATGAAATCCAAGTCTTTAAATGTCGGCGAACGCTTCTGCCTTTCCGTTTTCGAGGCCTGAAATAATAAATGGAAACTCCGATATTAAAATATTACTTATTTACATAAACACGAACCTTTCGCTTGTATGTGCTGCCCTTCAGGTCGTACTTTTGATGCATTTTAACAGAGCTAGGTAATAAATTATTCATTATAACTAATCGTACGTTTTTACTATTACACTGATAACAGTACAAACCAAAAAATTTTGGTAGCAACGTCCTAGGATTTTGATTTAAATTCATATAATAACCTAAAAAGTTAATTTACAATTAAATCGCATTTTAAAACAAGTTTCCTATATTATTAAAAAAAATAAGAATAACTAAAATTAGTAAAATATCTAATGGCCTCCAGTTGTGTCGACATCGACGCTGGATGTGACACAAGACATTTAACGAGTAAGGCAAATAGGAGATGACACAAAAAACATGTTTGAACATTAATATATATCNAGTAAAATCATGAACCACTGGCACCTGGATTTGATAATTCCCTTAGTGGAGCACTACACATTGACATCTAAAACAAATTTAAATCCCAGTGAAATGTTTAAATTAAAAATCTATACTCATTAATTATTTAATGACAAAATAGACAAAACAACTTACAAGAAAATCATCTGGTTGAATTCCAAATAGTTCCCTAAAATACCTAAATGCAATGGGAGCATAATTTTTAAATTTGAATTCTGAGTAATGATGGGCAGGAGTATGACTAGAGCCCTCGCTTGGAAAAGTTGTAGTTTCTACAGTCATAAAATCTTGCATAAGAAGATCTCTCTCAGGTTTAGATGCTAGACCACCCACTGCATGTTGGATTCCTAATAAAATAAAATATTTGTATAAGAAAAACCCCACAACTAATAACATTAAACAAATTTCAACTTTACCCAATTGTATAGATCCCATAATTTGAGATGTTTGTATTTTTTTATAGGTGATTTCACCCCCCACTCCCACCCTTCGGTGACCAATTTTCCTTTCCCTATCTTTTTCTCTTTCTGCTTTTGTTCTAAGTATTGTATTAGTTCCTGATTTTGGAACATTTTGTTTACCCTGAAATTATGTTAGTCAATTAGTCATTTATACTAGAATTATCAAAAAATATTTATGCACACACATACACACACACACACACATGCACATTATAAGTATAAAAGAACTAACAAAATAGTAATTTAATATAAAGCAAGAGAAGCAGTTTTATTGACATGAGAGTTGAATACATCTGAATTCAAGGTCTGGGAGAAAATTTAATTAATTTAATGAATTTCCTTTTTTTTATATGGCTTCGCCTAGTGATTTGTAAAAACATATGTATAATCAAAAGTTCATTTGTAATTGATTTTGTTACATAAACTATTTATCAATAAAACACATTAATATGCATTTTACACACATTAATTATTTGATTATGATAATTTCCGATTAATTTACCCTAAAATGATTATATTATAAAAACCTTTGTTCTCATCTATTAGTTACACATAGTTTACAGAGTAAAAACAATTTATTTTGGGTTTCCAAGCATGCATTCCATTTTATACCTAATACTAATTAAGAATTAACAGAAATACTTCAAAAACAAAAGTGAAAATTACTTACATCTGAATCTCCTCTTTCAATTGAAATAGCATCTTTATCTAAAAACAAAGATATTGTAAAGGTTAATTGTAATTGCGCTTAATTGTAAACAAATGAGTTATATGCAAATTCTTAAATGTAAAAAATATGTAATGCATTACAACAATCTTGTAAATAATAATTAGGTAAGGAGGTTGCTCTCCAATTATCTGGGTTACGGTAGCGATTAACCTCAAATGCTTAAATTAAAATCTAAAGAATATAAACATCATAAGCATACCTTTCTGATAATGAATTTCTTGCACAGAAGGGTGTTCTTTAGGAGTATTATATATCACAGAATTTTCCACATTTTCAATAGTCTCTATTGTGTCACCAGAAGCCATTTTGGGATGTTGGTCTTAAACCTAAGAAATATTTAATTAACTTCCTTTGCTGAGCTTTCCCCGTAAACATAAAAGCTTCTTCGGATTTTTGTTTACAAATTTCACTAGTTTAAACATTGTAAAAGAGATATTTTAGTACAACTTTGACGTTTTCATTCTTCAACTTCAGATTTACTCCCACTACTGTCAAAATTCAGGAATGTAAAATTAATCATCATGTGTCATTCTTCACAAGGAACTAATTTCATAGGAAATAAACGTCCTATTAAACATTTGTTCATTTAGCCTAATTTTCCTTTTTTATAGTCTTTTCTTATTCAAAATATACTTAATACCTAGGCACAAAAAAGTTTGAATTCAATTTATAATATGCATAAAACGTTGCGGTCAAAAGCAAACACTGTGTATTTCATCTTACAAAATATACAAAACCAATATTCATTTTCTTCAACTCGTTTTTTTTTTTTATTTTATGTTATACCCAAAACGAGAAAACAATTACAAGTGGCAAAAAACACTTCATGATAATTTACAAATTTCATACGCGTTTTTTAAATTTGTTTTACTATACCTCGCTAATTAAAAGGATCTTCTAATTAAAAAATCCATATTTAGAATTCAAGTTTTTAAAATTGCATCAGAATTATAACAAACTAGCAGTGGTGGTAGGAATAAAATACAGTATTAAAAGCTACATAAGTTCAATATTTTAATTTGTAGTTTTTTTAACAAGAGATTTGTAAGTTTTTCAAAAAACATCATTGGAAATAATAAAAACATGAAGTTTTAAAAATGATTGTCATTATTTTAAAGTTCGAAAATGTTATGAAGTGGACCAATATTGGATGGATACATAATATATTAATATGATCGTTAATAATTAAATACTAAAAAACAATAAACAACTATGCATTGCTCAATAAAGTAAACAAAAAATTAAACAAATCAAACAATTTCTTATTGTTAAAAAAATGTGCATTGTCTTAAAATTCGTTCGCAATTTTTTTCATTTATTTCCAATGTCATTAGTAACAAAAAAAGACACCTATAATTAATTGTAATTTATTTCTGGTCCCTGCTTTCAAAAAAGAAATATTAGATGGATACTTTTTTAACGTTATCAAAAACGAGTACGCATCAAATAATGAATAGAGCAGGTCAAACACTTTGAACAAAAATAAATCAATTTAAGCCAAAAAAGGAGAGATAGAATTGCATAACGCCTTATAAGATATGAAGGACTAGATGGACATATTAGAAGAAAAAAAGGAGTAAAGTGGCAGAGGAAGACTATTTTAGATGACTGCTGGCAAAGAAGAAATATGGAATGTTCTTGTTTTCAAAAGAGGCGAAGATATGCTCAGGATAGGAAAAACAAGAAGCAAGTGCCTAATATTGATAATGAAAACGTAAATATTCATTAAAATCGTTTGAATTCGAACGAATTTTAAAAATTGGCACAGTGAAATGGCTTGTGCATTCTCGTGCAAATAGTATTCAAATATTGAATGCGTTTGTAATATAAGTTCTTAAAAACTCGAAAAATCCTTATGATTATTAAACATTTATATAATTGAAACAGTTCAAATAACTTTAATATATGCATACATGTATATGTAACGTGTACGTATTTTTTTAAGAGTATATAATTACTTGTAATTTGTTCACTGTATTAGCACTTACATATTGAAACTCCATATTAATTTAATGCATTAATAGAAAATACTTTTACGAATTCCAGAATTATTTTTATTTCTCACAACGATCGTTTCGCCACACAGTAGATTCGTTAGATGGTTAAATTCGCACAATTTCGGTGTGGTGAAACGATCGTAGTGAGAAATAAAAATAATTTTGGAACTTCGAAGTTTTATCTTTTGTTACATTAAATTAATTGTAATTTAATTATATGTATGAATTTTGTGCCTACAAAACGGTTATATGTACGTAGAATTTCAATATAAGCAATGAAATAATAATGATAAACATCAATCGGCGTAATAGAGACAAACGACCACCGAGGAGGATTATCCTTGGATATCAAAAAATTTTGCGTCTGGTCGAGTCAACGACAATCAAAAACGCGATAAGACCACGAAGAGAAAATTGACGTTTTGGAAAGTGCTCCTCCATCGTTTTACCAGAACTACGTCGGAGTTTTGTAGAAACGTTGCACGAATTGCGTCAAATTTAATACCTGCCCTGGTCCCTTATTTGGATCCATCTGAATGTATTCATCCATATTGTGACTGCTCGCTTTAATTCATTAAAAAACAGAAGAATGTTAAAAAGCCTTTTAACAACAGTGCTTTTATAAATGTACTAAAAAAATACACTTTTTCTGACTACAAAGAATAGTACGAGACATTGATTATGGATGAGGCCTACTTTTCCGAAGAAAATGAATAAAAATTCGAATTAAAAGAGACAATTTACAATGTAACATCCGCACTCAAATATGGAGTTAGTCAAAAATTCGAATTAGAGCCATCTGATTATTTTTATAAAAAATCATCAAACCATTGATTTCAAACTACTCCTTTGGGAATATTTTTTTGGCATAGTTTAATTATATATCGAGTACATAGTACTAAAGAAGGAAAATTTGCACATGTATGTGCTTTTTTGCATTTTTTTAAAATTTGAAAAAACAATTCTAACTATCTTCATAACCAGTCAATATGTTCAGTTACTTTTGAAACTTTTTTTTAATAATAAAATAAAAGTAGCTTACTGGCTGAACAGATTGGTGGATAATTAGGGGGTGGTTTGATCCATGAACCGTCAGGTCGTTTCATATGCCTTCTATCAGACGCAAAATCTTTCAGAAAGTCTGATGCAGGAATTGCTCGAAAATATCTGAAAAAATCCAATAGCTATTTAATTACACATTTGTAATGTAAGAAATTAAAACTTTATATACGTTATCTACATATTTTTTATAATTGCTAGGTTATCATTGATTATTACCTAAAATAATCAGACTTTAGAATGTGATCAGTGCGAAATGTTTCTGTTACATATTTATGTACAAATGTTGGGAAGGGTAACTCAGAATCCAAATCATATACCAAACACTTATCTGGTTCAGGATGGTACAAGAATATTACATGATAATCCTAAAACAGTTAGAAAATATATGAACTTAAAATTTCATACTTGTTTTTTAAATTTATGTACCCATATGACCAGTTTATCTTCTTCTTTTCCTGCTTTCTGTCTCCAGAGGGGCACTGTACGACTAGCATTTGAAATAAAGACAACATAACAATTTTGCAGCTCAGAAGGGTGTTTATTTTTTACATCTTGACATAGTTTATAAACGTTTTCTTCACTGAAAAAAAATTATTAGTAGTATATCTATGCAACATGGGTATACAGGTTGCATGTTGGGTTATATAACCCCTATTAACATTATCTACTCTTTTTAATTAAAATAATAAAAACTGTATGAAAACAATGTTTGTTCAAAATGACAATTATTTAGAAAAATTTTTCATTCTCACAAGCCCTTATGTGCCACATTTAATCGAAAACGTTAGAACCGTTTTCAATAAAGCCGTTAGATTACATATTTTACCACTAATTATAAAACAAACTATCTTTATGGAGCAAGTTTTACTATTAAGCATCTGAATAATCCTAATCAAAATAATTAGTATTGCAGATACAGTTACAGCACTTGAGAAAAAAATTGGAAGTAAAATTGGCTCAAATAAAACTAAAATATTTCAAACAGGTTGATATTAAAATTCTTCATCTTTTTTACCTTACTAGCTCTTAATCACGGTTAAAAAGTTAAAGAAAAATAGATAAATAAATACATATATTAAATGTAATATTATTAGCAAAAATATTACGCTTAAACATTTTTTTATATAATTTTGTAATTATTAATTTAAAAAGCTTCAAGTAAAAGTGTGCAAATTCTCAGAAGTATTTTATCACAACATTAAACATAGGTTTATTTATTCCAATCAGATATTTTTAAAAAATTCAAACCATATATGCACCACATGCAACTTTTATGCACACAATATGAAAATATTGATTAACAATTTTTTCTCTATTAAACTTTAACACGAAAACATGCAACAAAATCCCTTGCATATTAAATTTAATGACTTGCTAATATGTACTTTACATCAATTTTTATAATAAAACTGAATTTAATTTACCTATTTACAAACTTTTTTTTTAATTAATTGCATATGGTTATACAAACAATAAAAATTTAACAAATATCTAGTTATTCTTAAATATAAATTGTCTATTAAATGGATCAAATTGAAATAGGAAGTAAATAAAAACTTCTTTTACTTATTAATTACTAGGCAATATTACATAAAGGAAATATGATCAGTCACATCAAAATTTTTATCAGTGACAAATAAGTTAAATTAAAAAAAGTAAATTATTGGTTAAAGACAAACTTATTTTAACTTACCAATAACAAGAAACATAAGAGCAGTCTGCTTGTTTTGGAAACAGGTTAATCAATATTTTTTTCGAATTTTCGGATCCTTCCGAATTGCATCGGTGGATAATATGAGCACCTGATTCTGATGCCATACTATTTTCAAAGTCGATGTCGCAATTAACTGAAATTTAAATGATAAATAATTAAACGTCGAACATTATTTAATGAATAACGTTGTTGACAAACACTGCAGAACTGTGCTGCTGCTGATGTTGCTCCGTTCTGCTGCAATTAGCGCAAACACGCGCAACAGTTCAATTTTTTGACGGTTATAACCTTGACTAGTGTCATTAGGGCATTGCCCAACTTCAGCCACACTTTAAATACATTACAACAATCTCATAGACAAAGGTTTTTAAACAGGTTTTATAAGGCTATACATCCCCTACAGCCATGCATGTTTCCGTTTTTCCTGTTGANTTGTTTAGTTGTATGGGATTTTGGATTTAAATTAATTCCAAATGTGGATAAAATATTCGATACATAATTAGCACAGGCTAAGATTTCTACATTGCTGTTCATAGCATCTTCAGGGATTGGAGGAGAATTAGTTAGCATTTTATTAACATTACTAGTTAGATTATGAAGGCTTTTCAGTGCTCTAGCTGTATCAAAATCATCTGATAAAGCACAGCCAATTTCCTTTTCTACATTTGCTAAATTCTCTTTCAAAACATTTTGGTTTAATTTCACATTAAGGGTACAATCTGTGTATGCTGAACAATGAGATAGAAAATTTTTATAGTGGTCTATTACTCCTTTGGCTGTTTTAATCAATTCGGTACTGAATTCCATGTTTTTTGAGTAATGAGACATGAGACATGCCATTCTAAAGTCATTAGAGCTGCAAATCTCCAGCATTTCAGTAATTGTTATTGTATTTTTTAAAGATTTTGACATTTTTTGGGCGTCTCCATAGTGAAGATGTCCTGTATGAATCCAATAGTTGACCCACTGTTGCTTTGTAAAATAAGCACAAGATTGAGCCTCCTCATTTTCATGATGGGGAAATTGTAAATCAATTCCTCCAGCATGAACATCCAATTCATCGCCTATCAGAAAATAAAAAAATCAGGAAATTGAAGTATGCATAATTTTGGATTTAAACCGATATTATAAATATGAAATAAGAAAAAATACCTAAAAAGAAGCTTGCAAGAGCAGAGCATTCAATATGCCAGCTTTAAAATTGTATTACTGATATTTATTAAATGTACTCCATTTAAATAATGATGTACAACATTAAGCTATTACAAACAGTACAACGTTCTTGCAATAATGTTATCATAGTTTCTGATAAATAAATAAATTCTGTTAAATGTTTATGAATTACACAGAAATTATAATTACCTTAAATTCTTGCTTATAATCACTGCATATGTCATTAATTAATGTACTTATATGTTCTGTAGTATGCGATATAAACAATATAACAGCTGGTTTTAATTTCTTGAGTGAATTTATCTGCACTACTGCAATTTCCAGGAGTTTAATAAATGTTTGAAGTGTTGTGGTTTCTTCATATAAACATTGTGTTAGCTGTTCCAAGTTCTGTGAATATCGTTCCTTACTATTTTTCTTTAATGAAGCTATTTCTTTAACTATTTTGGCCCCTTTTATATGATGATCATTCCAGTGTTGAATAGCATTGTATACATCTGCTATTATATCTTTAGCTACTCTTGGTGATCCAGTTAAATTCCTCTCAGAAGATGCAGGGCTACCTTTCACTATCGAAACAGAACTTTTATAAGTATTAAAATAAGAACAAACATTTTACTTCATTAACACACTTTATAGGTATAACCTCCTTAATAAGCATGATACTTGCCAGAAACAGGTGAGAATGTGTCCTCTGCATTAAATGTGTTTTTGGTATTTGCTGGCGTTTTACAATCATTCATTACAAACGAACGATAAATTTATTAAATATAACGACTTTTGGACTTTAAATACCTATTCTACTTATAATATTTTTTACAACAGAATAACATCTATGAAATTAACGTATTGCATCATTATTACATATTTGAAAATAAGTCATAGATAAACAATTTAAATAAGTTTAAACGTATCTATGTTTTAAAACATAGATAAGTTGAAAAGTAATAATCATAGATTTATAATATGGATAAAATAATATAATAGCAGACTGTAGCAGACAAAATCTGACATGAGACTCCAGACCATAGATACTCCAGACAGAACAATTTAATTTGTCTAACCTTTAAATATTTATACGCCTAACCTAACAAATGTCTCTAAATTAAAAAAATAATGTTTATTCCATTTTTTGGAACAAAAATTACAAATGGTATACACTTTATTCTGTTAAAGCGGAGATGGGCACATTGGACTAATTTAGAAGGCATAAAAGGTATGAAAATTACTTTCCTGAAGAGACTATTACATGAAGGTCAGTTTCTCTTAATTTTTCTAATTACAATTTGAAGGTAACTTATTCTTTATTTGTCTATTTTGTAGGTGAAACTAAAGAATACAAACATTTTGTACNGACATCGACGCTGGATGTGACACAAGACATTTAACGAGTAAGGCAAATAGGAGATGACACAAAAAACATGTTTGAACATTAATATATATCATTCAAAACACAAAAACCATACCTGTTTAACGCTGATTACACTGAACACTATTAAATGCAATAAAAAATAAAATAAAGAAACAAAATAATTCTTTCTTATTAGAAGTAATGATGCTTAATCAGTTTTTAATTTAATTCCAATTTAACTTTATAAACAATAATTTTTTTCAATTAAATTAAAATTACGTTACACGCTGACGATGAGTTGTGTAGAAATTACAGATGAAAAAATTTATCCAAATTGCCTTTTTAGTTCTTTGATATTGAATTCATTATTTTTATTCCAATTGTAGATGTATCACAGCATTAATACAAAATGTTAATTAAAACCAGAAAACTCCAATCGAGTAAAATCATTATTTCTCTACGTCAAGTGACAAAAATTCAAACTGATTGCTCGTGTCGTAAATAAGCGAAAGACGAAATTCAAAACGTCATAAACGAAAGCCAAAGAAAAAGAAAAAAAATGGAAAATTAACTAACTGGCACTCTATCTGGCAATATTACCTATGTAGCTGGTAACCAGTGTTCGAAACTTGCGATGGTTGCCCTTAATTTCAGGCAAGTCCACTACACGTAGCATTAAAACACAAAAATATCAGAGCCACAAGTACAATTAACTACCAACTACTATGTTAAAAAAACGAAATAATGGAGAGAAAACAAAAAGTAAATGGTGATGGGAAGTATTAACTAAACGAAATACCCAACGTAATGTGTAAGTAGTTGGGTGTAAACAGCAAAAAAGTTGTTATTAAGAAATAAATAATAACAGGCCACTACAATAATAGTAACATAAAGTGTTGAACCCGATTATGATTTTCGTTTCCAACAATTATATCTAAGGAAAATAGAAAAATGATTTCCGATTCTTAGAAATAAAAAAAAATTAAAGTAAGGGAATTCAATTCGTATTAAAAAAGTTTATATAAGTTTAAAATTATGTAGGTAGTAGTGATGTAGAGGAAGGCAGCCGCGCACAATTTACTATACAATTTTGTCTACGAGGGTGAAGTCATATGTAATAAAATAAGGGCCCATTATTATTTATTGTAATTAATGTTGTTGACTCATTTCCATTAACAAAATAAAGGAAAAAGTATTCAGAAGGAAGCAAATTGAATGAATAGTTTAAACTGATGTATAACAACAATAAATAATTAACAAAAAAGATTATTAGAGTATACATTAATATATACTTTTTCCATTACGGTACTGTATTGATGTTAGCCTAAGATTAAATGTTCCAAGTAGCGTAATTGTCAAATAACAATTTTATACTGCTTAAAGTACTGATATTTGTAAAAACAAAATTGTGTGGACTTATGAAGGAACAAAGTAATACAAAAAAGTTTCACGCAAAAAATGATACAATTTCTTTTATAATAAAAAAATAAACAAATATAGAAAGTACTTGTGGATACATGTTTACAGAGTTTAATAATGTAGCATTTTTACGTGAATGCTTTTTACACTGTATTCAACTACTAAATATGATAAACGGCGACAAGATGATTGACAAACTTGTACATTTTTTAAATAGATAGATAAAAAAAGAAAAACTTACGCGAGGGTATCTTCTTAAAAACTTTGTTTGCCATGAACTGTTGGAATCGGGAAGCGTAAAAACTTGGATTATGAACTGAAACGGTGTCCTAAAATATATAAAAAGTAACACACATATTTTAAGATTGGCATTTCTTATGAAATCTACATCGAAAGAAAATACCAAAAACTTACGCCATCATGAATCATGGACTTAATGGTGTGCTCCAACTTCTTTTTCAGCCTGTAGCTCTGCAAGATGTCTATGATACCGATAAAAAGTAATAACCTTTCGCCTTTTGCATTTCTTGCAGGTATTCCTCCAGGCCTTAAGCGTATGTAAAAGAAACAATATAATTTATTAAGACATTAAAAAAATATTGTTATCTAAAATTTTGGTATAAATCGTATGAAATTAGACTAAAAACAGTAATAGAAGAAAACAGTCGAAATTTCTAAAATGTGTGATGTTTACAGTACAAGAATATTGTATAGTATATGGTGCAACCTAGCTTATAAATCAATTTAAATTATTTTTAAATGTTTCTACTTAGTTTTTCTACTTACGGTACATCTTCCTCTTCGTCGATGGGTTCGGATTCCGCTTGAATGCTTTCCATAGCGGTCGAATGGGCTACAAGCCTTTGACGATTAATCGATCGCGTTCTATTAAGGGAAGACGCCCCTATTCGGTCATCTTTTTCTTTCTCTCTTTCAACGTAAACCATGGCAACACTAGGATCTTCTCCTGCCTCTCTCTGATAAAGTTCGTGATCTAGGGCTTCTTCAACCTTCTTTTCTTGCTAAAATTACAAGTAACTATACCCATTTAAAGAAGAAAATAGAAAATCGCGAATCTATCAAAAATGTGTAGTTAATTAAGGGTTACTTTGCAGCTTTTTGGTAAAGAACTATAACGTCATTATTTTTCTTTATAAATACATACCTGTTTTTCTTTTTGAGCTTGATCCAAATTGTGCACTCCAACCAAAAGACTGTAGTCCATTATTTTGAAGCTTTCCAGTACACGACAGTCCCTCTGTATAGTTTTGACAAGTGCACTGTAAGTGTCTGCTTCCATAAGAATCCCTTCTGGATGATGCTCCATGAAATCCAAGTCTTTAAATGTCGGCGAACGCTTCTGCCTTTCCGTTTTCGAGGCCTGAAATAATAAATGGAAACTCCGATATTAAAATATTACTTATTTACATAAACACGAACCTTTCGCTTGTATGTGCTGCCCTTCAGGTCGTACTTTTGATGCATTTTAACAGAGCTAGGTAATAAATTATTCATTATAACTAATCGTACGTTTTTACTATTACACTGATAACAGTACAAACCAAAAAATTTTGGTAGCAACGTCCTAGGATTTTGATTTAAATTCATATAATAACCTAAAAAGTTAATTTACAATTAAATCGCATTTTAAAACAAGTTTCCTATATTATTAAAAAAAATAAGAATAACTAAAATTAGTAAAATATCTAATGGTCAAATTTGGTTTCTCATAAGAAATAGTTTATATCATAATTTATCTCATAAATAAAAACTTACCTGCTAATAATTTTTGTAAAAATTCTCCTTCTTTATGTTGAACAGTCTTTATAATAAACTCATCATCAGTTGTCAAGTAAAATATTGAACCACTGGCACCTGGATTTGATAATTCCCTTAGTGGAGCACTACACATTGACATCTAAAACAAATTTAAATCCCAGTGAAATGTTTAAATTAAAAATCTATACTCATTAATTATTTAATGACAAAATAGACAAAACAACTTACAAGAAAATCATCTGGTTGAATTCCAAATAGTTCCCTAAAATACCTAAATGCAATGGGAGCATAATTTTTAAATTTGAATTCTGAGTAATGATGGGCAGGAGTATGACTAGAGCCCTCGCTTGGAAAAGTTGTAGTTTCTACAGTCATAAAATCTTGCATAAGAAGATCTCTCTCAGGTTTAGATGCTAGACCACCCACTGCATGTTGGATTCCTAATAAAATAAAATATTTGTATAAGAAAAACCCCACAACTAATAACATTAAACAAATTTCAACTTTACCCAATTGTATAGATCCCATAATTTGAGATGTTTGTATTTTTTTATAGGTGATTTCACCCCCCACTCCCACCCTTCGGTGACCAATTTTCCTTTCCCTATCTTTTTCTCTTTCTGCTTTTGTTCTAAGTATTGTATTAGTTCCTGATTTTGGAACATTTTGTTTACCCTGAAATTATGTTAGTCAATTAGTCATTTATACTAGAATTATCAAAAAATATTTATGCACACACATACACACACACACACACATGCACATTATAAGTATAAAAGAACTAACAAAATAGTAATTTAATATAAAGCAAGAGAAGCAGTTTTATTGACATGAGAGTTGAATACATCTGAATTCAAGGTCTGGGAGAAAATTTAATTAATTTAATGAATTTCCTTTTTTTTATATGGCTTCGCCTAGTGATTTGTAAAAACATATGTATAATCAAAAGTTCATTTGTAATTGATTTTGTTACATAAACTATTTATCAATAAAACACATTAATATGCATTTTACACACATTAATTATTTGATTATGATAATTTCCGATTAATTTACCCTAAAATGATTATATTATAAAAACCTTTGTTCTCATCTATTAGTTACACATAGTTTACAGAGTAAAAACAATTTATTTTGGGTTTCCAAGCATGCATTCCATTTTATACCTAATACTAATTAAGAATTAACAGAAATACTTCAAAAACAAAAGTGAAAATTACTTACATCTGAATCTCCTCTTTCAATTGAAATAGCATCTTTATCTAAAAACAAAGATATTGTAAAGGTTAATTGTAATTGCGCTTAATTGTAAACAAATGAGTTATATGCAAATTCTTAAATGTAAAAAATATGTAATGCATTAGAACAATCTTGTAAATAATAATTAGGTAAGGAGGTTGCTCTCCAATTATCTGGGTTACGGTAGCGATTAACCTCAAATGCTTAAATTAAAATCTAAAGAATATAAACATAATAAGCATACCTTTCTGATAATGAATTTCTTGCACAGAAGGGTGTTCTTTAGGAGTATTATATATCACAGAATTTTCCACATTTTCAATAGTCTCTATTGTGTCACCAGAAGCCATTTTGGGATGTTGGTCTTAAACCTAAGAAATATTTAATTAACTTCCTTTGCTGAGCTTTCCCCGTAAACATAAAAGCTTCTTCGGATTTTTGTTTACAAATTTCACTAGTTTAAACATTGTAAAAGAGATATTTTAGTACAACTTTGACGTTTTCATTCTTCAACTTCAGATTTACTCCCACTACTGTCAAAATTCAGGAATGTAAAATTAATCATCATGTGTCATTCTTCACAAGGAACTAATTTCATAGGAAATAAACGTCCTATTAAACATTTGTTCATTTAGCCTAATTTTCCTTTTTTATAGTCTTTTCTTATTCAAAATATACTTAATACCTAGGCACAAAAAAGTTTGAATTCAATTTATAATATGCATAAAACGTTGCGGTCAAAAGCAAACACTGTGTATTTCATCTTACAAAATATACAAAACCAATATTCATTTTCTTCAACTCGTTTTTTTTTTTTATTTTATGTTATACCCAAAACGAGAAAACAATTACAAGTGGCAAAAAACACTTCATGATAATTTACAAATTTCATACGCGTTTTTTAAATTTGTTTTACTATACCTCGCTAATTAAAAGGATCTTCTAATTAAAAAATCCATATTTAGAATTCAAGTTTTTAAAATTGCATCAGAATTATAACAAACTAGCAGTGGTGGTAGGAATAAAATACAGTATTAAAAGCTACATAAGTTCAATATTTTAATTTGTAGTTTTTTTAACAAGAGATTTGTAAGTTTTTCAAAAAACATCATTGGAAATAATAAAAACATGAAGTTTTAAAAATGATTGTCATTATTTTAAAGTTCGAAAATGTTATGAAGTGGACCAATATTGGATGGATACATAATATATTAATATGATCGTTAATAATTAAATACTAAAAAACAATAAACAACTATGCATTGCTCAATAAAGTAAACAAAAAATTAAACAAATCAAACAATTTCTTATTGTTAAAAAAATGTGCATTGTCTTAAAATTCGTTCGCAATTTTTTTCATTTATTTCCAATGTCATTAGTAACAAAAAAAGACACCTATAATTAATTGTAATTTATTTCTGGTCCCTGCTTTCAAAAAAGAAATATTAGATGGATACTTTTTTAACGTTATCAAAAACGAGTACGCATCAAATAATGAATAGAGCAGGTCAAACACTTTGAACAAAAATAAATCAATTTAAGCCAAAAAAGGAGAGATAGAATTGCATAACGCCTTATAAGATATGAAGGACTAGATGGACATATTAGAAGAAAAAAAGGAGTAAAGTGGCAGAGGAAGACTATTTTAAATTACTGCTGGCAAAGAAGAAATATGGAATGTTCTTGTTTTCAAGAAAGGCGAAGATATGCTCAGGATAGGAAAAACAAGAAGCAAGTGCCTAATATTGATAATGAAAACGTAAATATTCATTAAAATCGTTTGAATTCGAACGAATTTTAAAAATTGGCACAGTGAAATGGCTTGTGCATTCTCGTGCAAATAGTATTCAAATATTGAATGCGTTTGTAATATAAGTTCTTAAAAACTCGAAAAATCCTTATGATTATTAAACATTTATATAATTGAAACAGTTCAAATAACTTTAATATATGCATACATGTATATGTAACGTGTACGTATTTTTTTAAGAGTATATAATTACTTGTAATTTGTTCACTGTATTAGCACTTACATATTGAAACTCCATATTAATTTAATGCATTAATAGAAAATACTTTTACGAATTCCAGAATTATTTTTATTTCTCACAACGATCGTTTCGCCACACAGTAGATTCGTTAGATGGTTAAATTCGCACAATTTCGGTGTGGTGAAACGATCGTAGTGAGAAATAAAAATAATTTTGGAACTTCGAAGTTTTATCTTTTGTTACATTAAATTAATTGTAATTTAATTATATGTATGAATTTTGTGCCTACAAAACGGTTATATGTACGTAGAATTTCAATATAAGCAATGAAATAATAATGATAAACATCAATCGGCGTAATAGAGACAAACGACCACCGAGGAGGATTATCCTTGGATATCAAAAAATTTTGCGTCTGGTCGAGTCAACGACAATCAAAAACGCGATAAGACCACGAAGAGAAAATTGACGTTTTGGAAAGTGCTCCTCCATCGTTTTACCAGAACTACGTCGGAGTTTTGTAGAAACGTTGCACGAATTGCGTCAAATTTAATACCTGCCCTGGTCCCTTATTTGGATCCATCTGAATGTATTCATCCATATTGTGACTGCTCGCTTTAATTCATTAAAAAACAGAAGAATGTTAAAAAGCCTTTTAACAACAGTGCTTTTATAAATGTACTAAAAAAATACACTTTTTCTGACTACAAAGAATAGTACGAGACATTGATTATGGATGAGGCCTACTTTTCCGAAGAAAATGAATAAAAATTCGAATTAAAAGAGACAATTTACAATGTAACATCCGCACTCAAATATGGAGTTAGTCAAAAATTCGAATTAGAGCCATCTGATTATTTTTATAAAAAATCATCAAACCATTGATTTCAAACTACTCCTTTGGGAATATTTTTTTGGCATAGTTTAATTATATATCGAGTACATAGTACTAAAGAAGGAAAATTTGCACATGTATGTGCTTTTTTGCATTTTTTTAAAATTTGAAAAAACAATTCTAACTATCTTCATAACCAGTCAATATGTTCAGTTACTTTTGAAACTTTTTTTTAATAATAAAATAAAAGTAGCTTACTGGCTGAACAGATTGGTGGATAATTAGGGGGTGGTTTGATCCATGAACCGTCAGGTCGTTTCATATGCCTTCTATCAGACGCAAAATCTTTCAGAAAGTCTGATGCAGGAATTG